AAAAACCTGGAAAAAAAAATTTGCAATTCTATAGTTTCGACGTCTTCTAGGCCTCTAAACTCTTTGAATCTCGATTGATTTTTCGCAATTTTCACGACGTTAAAACTATTTCCCACAAAATTTCCTCTAAATTGATACCCATATTGCCTAGTTTTCGACAGTTCTGAAATCTGACGTCTTCTGAATTCAGAATTTCGAATTCTCTCAAAGTGGGGCAATATGGGTATCTTTCCGAAGAAAATTTCATAAAGAATAGTTTTGGCGTCGTGAAAAATCCGATTTCGAAGACTTCAGAATTCTAGGAGACGTAAAAAATTGAATTTACGAATTTCCAAATTTTCAAAAAAAGAATTTTATAATTCAGTTTTCACGACGTTAAAAATATTTTGCATGAAATTCCCTTCAAATTGTTACCTATATCGGCTAGTTTTGGGATAATTCTGTAACCTGACATCTTCTGAATTCAGGATTTCGATTTCTTCAAATACTGGCTATATAGGTATCATTTTGAAGGAAATTTCATGGCAAATAGTTTCAACGTCGTGAAAATTGTAGAAATTCAACTTTTGAAGCCTTCAGAATCATAGAAGACGTCGAAACTGGAATTTCTGATTTTCCAAAAATTTCAAAAAATTCCAAAAAGCAGTTTTCACGGCGTTAGAACTATTTCCCATGAAATTTCCGTCATTTTGATACCCATATCACCTGGTTTCGGATATTTTTAAAATCTGACATCTTCAGAATTCAGAATCCGAAATTTCTCTTTACTAGGTCGATATGGATATCGTTTTGAAGGAAATTTATCAAGAAATAGGTTTCACGTAGTGAAATTTCGTAAAAATCTATTTTTGAAGACTTAAGAACCCTAGAAGACGTCGAATTTTTTCCAGATCACCCGTGAGTCCATCGACGTCTGCAAGACATATTTCCGTGACGATTTGACGAAGGCCGACTGGCAATTGGTTGTTCAACTCAAGAAGATGTTGGATATTATGTGAAAAATCCCCATATTTTCCTATTTTTCCCCCGGTTTTCTATCATTTTTCCACCTTTTTTTCTTCCCCCATTTGTTGAAATTAACTAATTTTTTCCGTTTTTCTCTGGTTACGGTTTTTTGCTTGTTTTTTCTCCACTTTTTGTCTAGAAAATACTATCATTTTCACCCCAAAAATGTCCCCGAAATTCCCCGTTTTCCCCTTTTATTCGACGTCTAGTGTTGACTATTATAAGCTCATATGAAAATGCTTCTGGAATTTTCTAGAAAATTCTGAAGAAATGTCCACAAAATTCGAAAAAAAAAATTGAAAGTTATATTGCTAAAAATTAAAAAAAAATAATTTTTTGCCGAAAATTTCCGGAAAATGCGAAAAAAATTGAAAATTCAAAAAAAAATTTTTTTCGGAATTTTTTGAAAAAATTCAAAAAAAAATTTAATTGTTTCAAATAAATTTCCGATATTTCATTCGAAAATTCTGAATCGCCGATGACTGCACGAAAAAGTCGAAATTCCGCTTCAAATCCGACGTCACGGACACCAAATCGAACTCCAATCTGCAAAAAAAAGTGGGCGGAGCTTTCCGAAAAAAAAGTGGGCGGAGCCTATCACACTACCGTAATTTGCACTGTTTCATGCACATTTCCCGCTCGTTCCAGTAGAAAACTTTGCATTTATGCTCACATTGAAGGCGTTGGACCTGGAAAAAAAACGGAATTTCAAGGAAAAGTTAGGTGGAGCGCACTTGCTTACCACGGGGACACTAAACTCTGCATGGACACTGGAAACCGCAAAAATCGATCGACTACGGTATTCGATAATTTGAAGGAGATCGGCGGAGTGGGAGTAGATTCCTGAAGGAAACTTGAATTCTTGTCATTGGAGCGCATTTGCCAATTTTTTAAAAAAATGTGAATTTTCGGGGTTTTTAGACGCGAATTCAAATTTTTAAAGCACTAAAAATGTCTTAAAAATGTAAATTGTCCTGGAAAAATGTGAATTTTCCGATTTTTCGCATTGGAGCGCATTTGCAAAAAAATTTTTTTGAAAATTTTTGTAATTTTTGGGTTTTTAGCGATAAAAATGCCTGAGAAAGTGTAAGAAAATTGAAATTAGCCTAAAATATTTGAAAAATTCAGAAAAACTTTTAAAAAATCGAAAATTTTGAATTTTTAAAAAATATTTTTTTTCGAATTTTTTTATATTTTCAAAAAAAAATAAGCCCGAAAATTCTGAATAAATTGAAGTTAATTTTTGCAAAATTTTGAAAAAAAAAACTATCCAAAATTTTTCGATTTTTCTCATTAGAGCGCACTTGCCCATTTTTTTTGAAAAATTTTGAATTTTTGGTGTTTTCTAGCGCAAATTTATTGATTTTCAGCACCAAAAATGTCTGAAAAAATGCTAGAAACAATAATTTAGCTGAAGATTTTTTAAAATGTCGATAATTTAGAATTTTCAAAAAAAAATTTTTTCGAAAATTTTATTTTTTAATTCAAATTTCCCACCTAAACTCTTGTTTACTGTACCGGATTCATACAAGAACGCATTGCACTCTCCCTCCAAGCACCAGCGATTGTTGGCTTTCGTAATAGCTTCGGTGCGCAAGAACTGAAATTTGAAATTTTCGAAATTGCAAACGCGCTCCATCGCAAACTCTCAAAAATCAATAAAAAGACCTGATTCTCTATCAAATATTGCAAAATGATGGCACTTTTGTCGGTGGAAACCTCAAAAAGAGCCATTTTTTCAGAAATTTTCAAATTTCTATAAATATTCCTGTCGGGCTCCGACGAATCGTAATAGTGAGCTTTGGGGATTCGAATTGATAGCTTTTTACGGAATAATTCGGCGATTGGAGTCTGAAAATTTGAAATTTTCAAAAAAATTAGCGGTAGAGCGCATTTGCTAACTTACCTGAGAGATATAAGACATATGGATGGGATAGCCAGTCATGAATAGATAAACATCATCGGAAACATTGTATAATTTCTGGTCCGGGAGAAGAATACAAGTGCAGTTTTGCTAAAAAATTTCGATATTTTGGCTTGGCGGGAAATTTGAATTTTTGAAAAAAAAAATTTTTTAAATTTTTTCCGAACATTCTGCGGATTTTCCATTCAAATTCGATTGTTTTAGGCAGTTTTTTAAAATTTTTCTGTTAAAAAGCTTTTTTTTGCTGAAAAATTTGAAATTGCGGGTTTGGCGGGAAATTTGAAAATTTCGGAAAAAATTTTTCGAAAGTTATTCTTTGATTTCTCGCAGATTTCTTGTTCAAAATTGATTGTTTTAGGCAGTTTTCTCCGAAAAAAAATTTTTTTGTTTAAAAAGCGGCTCGGCGGGAAATTTGAAATTTTCTTTTTGAAATTTTTTTCGAAAATTTTGCAGGTTTTCCGTTCAAAATTGATTTTTCAGACATTTCGAATTTTTTGTACGAAACCTCTTTTTTTGCTAGAAAATTTTGATTTTTTGGTTTGGCGGGAAATTAAAAATTTTTTTCAAAAAATTTGAATTTTTGCAGAATTTCCTTTCAGTTTTGCATTTTTTGGCCGTTTTCTCTGAAAATTCAGAATTTTTGACTTGGCGGGAAATTTGAAAAATTTGGAAAAAAATTTTTTTTAAAAGAATTTTTTCAAATTCCCGCTCAACCTCTTCCTGTCCATTAGAGCGCACTTACATCAAAATCTTCCAGTGGCATACATGTGGAATCATCAATGTTGCATGGATTAAAATCCGATTCTAAGGGATCATCAAAGCAGAAAAATTGGTTTATTAGGAAAAATAGAAAAAGAATCAGCAGAAATATCGATTTTTGGGTCATTTTTAGCAGAGAAATCGATTTTTATACAGAAAAATGGGAAAAATGATGAAAAATGAGCCTAGAAAATGGTTAAAATGATTATAACGAGCAAAAATTGTTTATGACAGTTCTCAAATTTCCAAACAATTCGATTTTTTTCTCGTTTTTCAGGACAATTCCAGCTCATACTCTCTCAATTGCTTCTCGAAACCGGAATTGGGACGAATACCTGAAAAAAAATCGCATTAGACCGCGTTTTCTCAAAATTCTCATTGGAGCGCAGTTACTTACTCCGTGTCTCGCGGCACTTTTCGAATGCCTGACGATACGTCATTTTTTGTGTTTTCATCAAATAACCAACTGCAAACGAGGCGGATCGTGAAATTCCAGCATTGCAATGAATGAAACACTGAAAATTTTGAAATTTCGAGAAATGCAAACGCGCTCTATTGGATTTTTAGGATTTTCGCTTTTTTCGGTGGTTTTCGCAGGGATTTCAGAGAGGAAATGTGGTCTTAAGAGATTTAACACATTAAAAACCAGCTTAGATGCAAAATTCAAAGCTCGAAATGTTGAAAATGCGCTCTATTGGAGTTTTGGCTTTTCTCTGGCTTTTAAGAGATTTAATAGTTTTTTCCATATTCAATCTCTCAGAATTGTTGCTTTTAAACATATTCCTAGTGGAAAAAACAAGCTTTTTCGTAAAATTTTCAGCGCGAAATGATGAAAATGCGCTCTATCGGACTTTTCAGATTTTTCGCATTTTCATTTTCGACTAAAATTTGTATTTTTTAAAGCTTTTCACATGATTTTCGGTGTTTTTACATTGAAATAGTCTAGAAAAAACCGTAAAAATGCAAAATTTTCACATTTCCACACACTGCAGAATTCCACCACATGGAGCTCAGC